TCTTGGGCCTTCCTCTAAGGCAGGGGTGGACAATAAGATGGAGGTGGTTCGCTAAGGTTAGCCTGGGAACACCATTCCTACCCAGCCTGGATAATAGCCATTGATGAACCTAACCTCCATGAATTTATCTAGCTCTTTTTTGAACCCTTTTAAAGTCCTATCTTCACCACATCCTCTGGCAAGGAGTTCCACAGGTTGATTGTGTGCTGAGTGAAGAAAAACGTCCTTTGGTTTGTTTTGAACCTGCTGCCTATTGATTTCATTTGGTGTAAGGTATGGGTGCTTTCAGCTCCCATGGGCCGGGGATTGCCATTCCCGGCCAATAGGAGGTGTGGCGAATAACGTGGATCAGGACACCCCTTCCTGCAGCTCCCATTGGCTCAGGATGGCCAATGGGAGCTGCAAGCACCATGCCTGTGGAGACGCAGGTAAATACAACAGTGGCAGCCCACCAGAGGCTAGCCCTGGTGAACAAGATTCAGCCCGTAGGCCAGTATATACCCATTACTGCTCTAAGTTATTGGTGCTGGTCCCTAGTAGAGGCTTCTCTAGTGCTTTTAAGAAGGCTGGGAGCTGTGCTGTATGCCTTGAAGGTGGTGACTAGGGGTATGTATGGTGTGGAGGCCCTCCGGGTCTGGATGGGAAATAGGGAAGACGGCTGGGAATGCTCCATTTCTAGTGGCAATGAATGGCTTTGGCAGAGAAACCTTCCCTTGTACGGTACCTTCTCTTCCCAGGCCCAGGGTCTCGCTTCTCTTTCCTCTGCGTTGCTGGGTCTTGGATTCCCCATCATCCATGGTCAGCGTTGATGGTTTCTTCCTCACTTGACTTTCTCAGAAGTATTTTGGAAATGGTACTAAAGAGCGTCACGATCTTCAGGCTGCTGCATCTCCCCTTCACTGTAAGCAAACAAAGAGGCTTGTGGTCCTGCTGCCAACTCCTGCCCTTTTTAGCAGGGGCCTTGGGGGTTTGGGTGCGTGTCCCTCAGCTCCCAGGGGTAGGGGGGGGAGGAGCTCAGGCTTGAACATGTGACCCAAGTGCACCCCCCGAGGCTCACACAGGACGGCAAATGGGGGCCTGACTCATGATTTTTGAAATGCTTGGGCTTGGCGATACAGTAGCAGGGAAAGGGACAAGGGGGGTCCCATTGGCAATGGACACCAGACAGATGGACACAGGCACGTGAGACGCTCCCAGGCGCGAGAACCTCACAGACCCTGCCACGTGCAAGTTCTCACCGATGGCCAGTTGGGCTCCGTCACGGACACACTGACTGACTGCCCCGAAGGAGAACTAACTGGGCCCAGTGGTCTGTGGAGGGGCTGAGCACAATAATGAGACAAAGTCCGTTCCCAGCAACAGGAGGCGAGAAGCTGGGAGCCCAAGAGGTGTATCGGAGTTGGGGGAAGGGAGAAGAGGAAGTGTAGTTCTGAAGAATCCTTGGATACGGGGTGCGCCTGGTTGGGTTTGGAAAGAACCCAAATGTGGGTGTTTGTGGGAGCTGTTTAGTCTATATCCCCCCAGGGAAGATCTCAGCAGACAGCTGAACAGCGTGAGACAGCAGGGAGTGGGAGGAGGGAGATGGACAGGCCCGTTCCTGCGCAGGCGGGAATTGTGGGAGATGATTACCAGGACAAAGGACGCACAGCCTGGTCTCTAGCATGGTCCGTGCCGCCTGAGCCCAGTGCATTCCAACGCAGCCCGGCCCATGAGGTAGAGAAGGGCTTGAAGAGACACTTCTAAGGGTTGTTAGGGTATGTCTACACTACCCTGCTAGTTCGGCTTAGCTAGCTAGTCCGTGCCGCGTGTAACCGCACAGCACAGGGTCTGAACTAGCCGGCATTTAAAAATGGCGCCGGCCGGCTTCATGCAAATGAAGCCCGGGAAATTCAAATCCCGGGCTTCATTTGCAACTGCGGATGACTACATTACCCCCGCTAGTTCAAACTAGCGGGGTAGTGTAGACATACCCTTAGAGAGAAAAGGTGGGCCCAGGCGATGTGTGAGGGCGAGTGTGAGGGGCCTCATGCGGGAGGGGCAAGGAGCTAGGGCCTCTGGGTGGCACAGAGGACGAGAGGGGGCCTGGCCCCAACAGCAGGGTTTGGGGGGTCCCTGAACTCAGCGGAAAAGGCGGGAGGAAGTGGAGCAATGCAGCTCCGCTCCCCAGACGTCGGTACCTCACTCCGGGGAGGGACAGGTCTGCACCCCACAAAGCAGTGTAGCCAGCAGAGTGAAACAGTGTTTCGTAACCCCTAGGTCACTCTCAAACCCACCTCGCCTCCCTACCTTCAGGTTGCCCCTTATCTGGCCTTTCTAATGGGGCAGCTGGTTCTGGTCATGGTGACAGTGATGCTCCCCAGGTGGGCAGGGCTCGAACCCACAACCCTGGGGTCCCCCGGCAAATGCCTGAACCCCAACTGTGAGTGGGGGGGCTGGACACCTGCTGTGGGTGCCAGCCCCACCCGCTTTAAGGCCTGGGAGCACACTGCTGGGGAGAGAGTGTGAAGGAAGAGGCGACGCGGAGGCAGAGCAGGGACAGGGCCTGGGTGGAGGGGGGTTGTCCTGGCCCTTCCCCAGATGGCATGGGGAGGAGTCACATGGGTGGGGCGGTCACCTGATTGATGCCCCCACCCTCACCCCGGTTTCCTCATTCACCAGTCACCCCGGAAGGTGGGGGAGGGAAAATCTTTTCTTGGACCAACTTCTGTTGGTGACAGAGGCAAGCTTTGGAGCACAGTGTCCTGTGGGTCTGGGGACGGGACTCGGCGGGTATGTCTGCACGGTGATACAGATCCAGTCCTGGCCACCCCCATCCCCCGCAGGCTGCGCCCAGATGGCATGAGCCTGCAGGCTGGGGAGTCGAGGTGGCGCAGCACGCAGTGGTGCTGCTGGCCAGAGAGCGGGGTGGAAGGGAAAACTGCCTGCTGCTCCTCCTGAGTCCTCTAGCCTGTGGGCTCACGCTGCTCGCCAACGCCCACAGCTCCCCTGAGGAGACTGCCTTACAGCGCTCCTGTGCCCCACAGTTTCGGCCCCTGCACCTCCTCCCCGTGCAAAGGGGCTACCCCCGGTGGAGGGGGCAATGCGGGTGCTGAGCTGCACAGGGCACCAGCAGTGCTAGGGACAGGCCTGGTGGTATGGAGTGGTGGGGAGTGTTAATGGTGGGGGGAGGGCCTTGCTTCCTCATCTTGGCCTTTTCTATCAGGGGACACCGCGGGGAGGGGGAACGGCTGCAGGAGCAGTAGCTGAGGTGGGGAGAGCTTGTGAAAAGGAAACAGGATCGGTTTTATACCTGAAGTGCTTGAGGATGTGCTTGTCCCCTTCGCAGGGGTGTCTGCCCTGTCACACACGGATGTATTCTCCCTGGAAGCAAAGAGCTCGGGTTAACACAGACAGCGCAGTCAGAAATACCAGCCGCATCAGAGAATCACCCAATACTACAACTGGGAGGGATTACAAGAGGTCATCGAATCCAGGCCCCTGCCCACATGGCAGGACCCAGCACCATCTCTGACAGGTGTCTGCTCTTAAATATCTTCCGTTACCTTCCTAGGCAATTTATTCCAGCATTTAACCCCTATGACAGGAAGCTTTTCCTAATGTCCAACCTAAACCTCCCTTGCTGCAGTTTAAGCCCATTGCTGCTTGTCCTATCCTCAGAGGACAAGGAGAACGGTTTTTTCTCCCTAACACCCTTTTAGATACCTGAAAACCACTCTCATGTCCCCTCTTTTCCAAACTAAACAAGCCCAATCCTCATGGGTCATGGGTCATGGTCTCTAGGCCTTTCGTCATGTTTGTTGCTCTTCTCTGGGCCTTCTCCAGTTCCTCCACATCTTTTCTGAAATGCGGTGCCCAGAACTGGACACAACACTGCAACTGAGGCCTAATCAGTGCAGAGTAGAGCAGTAGGCTCTGTACTTCCGCAGCCAGTTGGGGGCAGCTGTGATTAGCAGCAGAGGTGCTGCCAGGATATGCATCCTCTCACTGCACCATGCACTCCTGCCACTCCGGTATCCCACTTTTTGGGAGGTAGGGGGCCCAGGTCTACTTGGGACTGGCAGAGCTGTGAACAGAATCCTAGGCTTGTGGCTGCCCTGTAAATAAAAGTAAAATACAATCCAGCTGCTCTTCCGCTCTGAACATCTCTCCCAACCCCTGCTATTTTAGTCCCAAATGTCTGCATGTATCACTTTGGAGCTGTGTTCATTTTATGGTCTGCACCATGGCTACATCTGGACTGGTATGGTTTTCTGGAAATGCTTTTAATGGAAAAGTTTTCCGTTAAAAGCATTTTCGGAAAAGAGCATCTAGATTGGCACTTTTTCCGTAAAAGCACTTTTCACGATCGGGGCTTTTTTGCGCAAAACAAATCTGAGCTGTCTACACTGGCCCTCTTGCGCAAAAGCTTTGCGCAAAAGGACTTTTGCCCGAACGAGAGCAGTATAGTATTTCCGCAAGAAGCACTGATTTCTTCCATGAGATCATCAGTGCTCTTGCGGAAATTCAAGCGGCCAGTGTAGACAGCTGGCAAGTTTTTCTGGAAAAGCGGCTGATTTTCCAGAAAACCCGGCCAGTCTAGACACAGCCTGGATGTGCAGCAGAGAGGCAGGAAGGCAATGGCAAAGAAAGAAGGGCAATGGCAAATTCTTGGGATGGCACCCCCATCAAAAATTATTGCCCATCTCTTCTGTAGTCTCTCAAATCCTCAGTACAGTTATGGCCCGTTGAAACTACAGGTCCCAGCATGCACTGCTTCATGTCGATCTGAGGAAAGTCCTCTGCCGTTTTATATAACCTCTCGACACTTTCCCTGTACCCTACACGCCTTCTGTTCTTCTGACTTGCACTCCTATTTCCTCCTACGCTTGAAACAGTCTCCTGCTGCCTTTGGCTAAGCATCCTCTGTCTTTCAAAGCCTCCCTTCTAACCTCCCTTCTAACCTACTCTTCCCTTCTCCTTCTACCATCTCCCGTGACTTTGCTGGCTTAACTTGGAAGCTCTTCAAGGCAAGGGCTGTGCCTCGTTCTGCGTCTGTATGTTCACAACCCTAGGACTGGTCCCGAGTCGTAATTCTGTGCACCTATCCCGTCTGAGGATATCCTCCCCTGCAGCTCAGGTCTGTGCCACGTGGCATCCTCTGAGACTAGCGTAAGAGCAGAAGAATGGCCATGTTGGGTCAGACCAAAGGTCCATCCAGCCCAAAGCACATTAAGACCCCTGAGTCAGACCCATGATGCCCCTTTGCCACCTACCTACCTGGTCTGGACTAATGCTGCGCTGACGTGCAGTGAGCTGCATTCGACCCTTTCCCTCAGATCCCCGTCGTTCCTCACCACGTCAGCCAGTACGAGGCTGCCACACTCTTTGGACTCTGAGTTCAGTTCCTGCTTGGTCTCGGTGCTTGGCTCTTTGGCGACACTCGCTGGGCTGCTGCTCTCACCAAGAGGACGTGCAGCATGGTCCACCGGCCCCTTTTCTTCCTCTTCTGGCTCTTCATCCTCCCACTCCTTGCTCTGGCTTCCTGTCTGTAGGGGGGTTAAATACAGTACAAACAGGAGATGGGGGGGAAGCGGGGAGCGTGGTGATTTAAAAGCACAGTGATCTTTTTTTTTTTTTTTTTGGCTCAACAACCTTTTTTTTTGTCCTCAACCAATTTTTTCCCCCGCCATGTTCAAGATTTTTTGTGGAAGTATCTGGCAACCCTAGGGCCAACGCCAATGAAAAGGCTACAGTGCCATAGATAGCAGGGACAGCGAGACCGTGGAGAGGCCATACGGGAGGGGACAATCATGGGAGGTGCCCCGTGGACGACGGGATGGCTGCAGCAGGGGTTTGAGCTTCTATTTGCCTAGGCTGATGGGGAGGCCCGTGTCCCCTGCAGACTCACCCCTGCCTCTATCTCCTCCTCACTGGCGAGGATGCGCACACTGAGGCTGTCTCTGGATGTGCAGGAGGTGGGGCGCAGGTAGTAGCTGGGGGGGTGGTGCAGCAGGTAGATGAGTGACAGCCAGCGATCAAAGAGGGGTTCCTGCTCCTCCGGGGAGGCATAGAGCTGCAGGTAGTAGGAGCGCCCGTTGGCCAGCTGGAGCTTGATGCGCTGCCTGTCGGGGTCATGGACGGAGATGCGCACGAACTTCAAGGGCAGGAGCCTACGAGGAAACCCCCGGGTGAGACCAGAGAGTGCCTCTTTGTAGCCCCTCTGTTACCGTGGGGAAGGGTCAGACGGCGGAGGGAAGAGCCTGAGCAGAAAGGCGGGGGGCGGGGCACACTGCCTTTTAGAGTTTCCCGGAGCCATTTCTCAGCCAGGCTTCCATGCAGATCGTATGGGAACCAGACTGGCCTGTTGCCCTCTGGTTTGGGAACAAGCCTATTGCCAGGGCTTTAAACCACAGCAGCTCTGAGCATCCAGTGACAGCTTAGTGTGTGTGTGTGTGTGTGTGTGTGGTCATAATCATGGTTGTGGTCGTGGTCATATCATCTTCCCTGACCTTTCCCAGCTCCTAGATCCTACAGCTTTATCCCTAGGGGAAGGCTTAACATAAGAACATAAGAACGGCCATACCGGATCAGATCAAAGATCCATCCAGCCCAGTACCCCGTCTGCCGACAGTGGCGAACACCGGGTGCCCCAGAGGGAGTGAACCGAACAGGTAATGATCTAGCTATTTCTCTCCTGCCATCCGTCTCCACCCTCTGACAAACAGAGGCTAGGGACACCATTCCTTACCCATCCTGGCTAATAGCCATTAATGGACTTAACCTCTATGAATTTATCTAGTTCTCTTTTAAACCCTGTTAGGCTGTGTCTAGACTACATGGCTCCATCTACGGAGCCATGTAGATTAGGGTTGTAGGCATAGGGAAATGAAGCGGCGATTATTTAAATTTAAATGGCTGCCGCGCTGAGCCGACAAACAGCTGATCAAAGTCCTTTGTTGACATCAAAGCCCACGAGGAGTACTGGTAGTTCGAATTAGAGTTCCTAATTCAAACTACCTACTCCGTGCCGCGTGTAGCCGTGGGCATGGAGTTCGGACTAAGGGGGATTTAAAAATGGTGGCACCTGGGAAGATGCAAATGAAGCCCGGGATATTTAAATCCCGGGCTTCATTTGCAACTTTGAATGCCTACATTAGCCTCCCTACTTCAAACTGGGGGCTAGAGTAGACATACCATTAGGCTGTGTCTACACTGGCAAGTTTTTCCGGAAAATCATCTCATTTTCTGGAAAAACTTTCCAGCTGTCTACACTGGCCGCTTGAATTTCCAGAAAAGCACTGACGATCTACTGTAAAATCATCAGTGCTTTTCCGGAAATACTATGCTGCTCCCATTCGGGCAAAAGTCTTTTTCCGAAAGACTTTTGCCCGAAAGGGCCAGTGTAGACAGCATAGTTCTGTTTTCCGCAAAAAAGCCCCGATCGCGAAAATGGCGATCGGAGCTTTTTTGCGGAAAAGCGCATCTAGATTGGCCACGGACGCTTTTCCGCAAAAAGTGCTTTTCCGCAAAAAGTTTTCCGTTAAAAGCATTTCCGGAAAATCATGCCAGTGTAGACGTAGCCTTAGAGACTAACTAAGATATATAGAATCATGAGCTTTTGGGGACAAAACACACTTCCTCAGATGAATTAGAGTGGAAATAACAAAAACCAAGATAGAAATATATATATATAACAGCAGAAGAAGTATTTGCCAATTGTAGGACCCATATTAATGAGGCTAATTCTGCTTGGGCCCCATACAAAGCTTTGATGTAGAAATGCAGATGTTATAGGCTGGAGAAATTTCTATTCCTTAGGCAGAGACTCCTATAGCAGGAGAAATTTTTCCTGCTATAACACAGAATCATAGAACACTAGAACTGGAAGGGAGCGCGAGAGGTCACTGAGTCCAGTTCCTTGACCTCAGGGCAGGACCATGCATCATCATCTCTGATAAATGTCTATCCATCTTCATTTCCACATCAGAAGTTATATATAGGACACATCCAGCCCACTTAATTAGCCTCATTAACAAGGGTCCTACAATTGATAGGTACTTCTATCTATCTATCTATCTATCTATCTATCTATCTATCTATCTATCTTGATTTCTCTTATTTTCACTCCAGTTTATCTGATGAAGTGGGTTTTGCCCACAAAAGCCATTAGTCTCAAAGGGTACGTCTAGACTGCAGAGTTTTTCCAGGACACCAAAGGTATCCCAGAACATCTCTGCCATGTCCAAGGAAAAGCGGATGCATTTTTCGGCATCCCTGTAAACCTTCTTCTATGAGGAAGAAGGGATTTTCCGAAAGAGGCTATTTTCCCGACATTTGGCCCAGTGTAGACAGGCCAATTGTTGGAAAAGCCTCTTTTGGAAGAAAAGCAGAACTGCAATTTGCGTATCTTTTTCGGATAGAACTTTGTCATCTAGACACAGCCTAAGGTGCCACAGGACTACTCATTGTTTTTAATACTTAAAGTTTGGACAGGATTATACAAGGGTGGCTAGTTCATGCCTGCACCACTAAGGATACCTTGCTATTTCTGGTGTGCTAGCTCAATCAAAGTTCACCCAAGTGTAACTGCTAGCTTGGGTGGACACTCCTTTAGCTGCTGTGTAGGCATCCTCCGCTGGTTGAAAGCCTGGTGGTGCTACCAGTATAGACTGTAGCCCGTGGTATAACTGTGTTCTCTCCCGTTCCTTTATGGTTACGTCTAGACTCGCATGATTTTCAGCAAATGCTTTTAACGGAAAAGTTTCCCGTTAAAAGCATTTGCGGAAAAGAGCGTCTAGATTGGCACGGACGCTTTTCTGCAAAAGCACTTTTTGCGGAAAAGTGTCTGTGCCAATGTAGACACGCTTTTCCGCGCAAAAGCCCCGATCGCCATTTTCGCGAACGGGGCTTTTTTGCGCAAAACAAATCCGACCTGTCTACACTGGCCCTTTTGTGCAAAAGTTTTGCACAAAAGGACTTTTGCCCGAACGGGAGCAGCATAGTATTTCTGCAAGAAGCACTGATTTCTTACATGAGATCATCAGTGTTCTTGCGGAAATTCAAGCGGCCAGAGTAGACAGCCAGTCTAGACACAGCCTATGAGTATGTGGAAAAACTTGCCAGTCTAGACACAGCCTATGAGTATGTCTTCACTGCAGCTGGGAGTTGGGATTCCCAGTGCAGGGAGACAAAACCGAGGCAGCAAGCTTAGCCAAAGCAGGTAGGCTTGAGTGGCTAGCTCTAGCTGCTAACTGGCCGCAATGGCCACACTCTTCTTTTTAGGGCTCTATTTTATAGTGAGCTAGTGACCCCCCCACCCCAAGCCAGCCTGCACGAGGGCAGGGCCTTCGTGCAGTTACCTGGTGAGCACCAGCTGCTCAGCACGGCCCCCTGAGGAGACCTGGCCGTTCTGCGTGGGCACCGGGCGAGCGATGAGCATTATGTTGGGCAGCGGCAGTTTGTTGTCGGTGGAGACGATGCCAATGGTGGCCTCGGTCGGATGATTATGGACGTCCACGTGCCTGCCTCCCCGAGTGATCTGTGCAGAAAGGCGGAGGTGTCGCAACAGAGGGGGAGTGGATGCCATACGACTCGCTCGCTTGGTGCTCCTTCCCCCTCACAGCGCCATCTGATCTGTTTGCTTCGCCCACCGGCTGCGTCTCATCAGACCCTAGTACCGACCTGACAAGTCTGTACGGTGCCTGGCGTGGGGAGGACCTGATGGTGGACTGCTCCGGTATAAATACCAATGTGTTGAAATGGGGAATTACACGTGGGAGTCTCGTTCAGCTCTGGGGGTGGGGGCAGTTGTCAGACTCTTGCTTCAGTTCTTATGTTCCCTTCTAGGGCACTGGTCCCCAAGTGTGGGGTGCACCTGCCTAACAAGGCCTGGCAGAATATTTGGGGGGGAGCAAGGCCCACGCCAGCCCCCACAGGGCATGAGGACCATATGCCAGTCCTGCCCCAGTCCCAACTCTGCTCTGGCCCCACCCCCCATCCGCAGCTCCACAACCACCACCCATCCCAGTCTCTAGCTGTGGCTCTGGTACCAGCCCGGGCT